ACATTCTGTAGGTATCTCAGATCTACCCACTTCTCACAAGCCCCCAAGCTTTGCCTTCTCTGGATAGCTGGTGGTTCCAACCATTTTAATTATCACTCCTCTGCCAAACTAGGTGTTGTATTTGCGGGGAAGGATTTAAGACTGGTGGCAGAAATGAGAACAGTGGTGACATGCACAGCAAGTTTTTAGCACTTGCTTTGTGTGGGACACTCATTTTCACAAAAAGAATTTGAGGTAGTCTGTATCAAAGACAATGGTAGGGAAAACATACACTTAGTCAACCTGGTTGAGGAAAACTAAACACAGCAATAAGTGGTTTTACAGAAATTAATTCACTTAATTTTTCTGACGACCTTCTGAGGCAGGTGCTTTTAGTTACTCTCTTTTTAGAGAAGGAAACTGGGAAAACTAAGATTTGAAATTACACCTTTGGCTTGGCTTCAATGGCCAGTATGAGGAAAAACAACAACAACAAAACACCAAAAGGTAAAACAAAACAAATGTAGGAAACTCAGTACTTATTTTCAATAATAGCAATTTCAAGATTATTCTCCAGAAAAAATAAATACTAGCTCTGCTTGCTATAAAAAGATGGTCCAAAATGCTGGGTCAGGTTCTTTTTGGCTTAGACGTCTAGCTATCTCTCCGGACAAGATTCCTTGCAGGGCTTAGGCCACGAAAGACTTTCTCCTAAATGATGCTATGATCACTTCCACTTGACAAGGAGAGTTACAAAAACTCTCATTTCCCTATTCCATGGTTATGAGGAAGCCTGGAGTTTAGAGTTCATATACTATTGTTTGCCTTTGCTAGTTTTTCTTTTTTTTTTTTTTGTCTGTTTACATATAAACCATCCTTACATCCCTTTTGGAAAAAGGCACAATATAAATAAACAAAAAGCAAACAAACAAAATACCATTCTCTTGGGCCATGCTAGGGATGTAATGAGTTGCCAAAATATTTTATGTAACACCCCTGGAATCGTTTTATCTGAAAGAGAATATTGTAAATAGAATTCTGGGTAGATAACTTTCTTTCATGGTGTTTATCATGGTTTTTTTTTGTTGTTGTTTATTTGTTTTTTTGTTTTGCTTTGTTTTGTTTTGATGCTCATTAAATAGCATTCCAAACCACTTTGGGTAAAGACTAGAGACAATGAGATCTAGAGACAATGAGCTGATTACTCTCATATGTCTTCTTGTTACTGGGATCTAATCAAAGTTTTGAATCTTGTCCAAAACTGTGCGCTAAATAAACTGACTTAAATCTACATTTATCAGTCAGATTTAAAATGAAGAATGGTTTCACCCATTCCAACCATTCACCAGTGAATAACTATGCTTAATTCATAGATTCTCATTGGGTTCCAAAATTTCTCCAGAAATACAGTCCTACCTTGTCTTGCTGATTGACAAACACTGTACATATTAGGTCATTCATCAAGAGAAGCCTTCTGAAGGGCCAAGATGCTGTAATTCAATAACAAACCTCACATCATCTCAAGTTTGCTGCTGTTATGGGCGACTGATCTTTGCAAAGGACAAAGCTGTTCAGGCCCAGAACTTTCAAAACAGGTGTCATCATGATTTTTTTTTTTTTTACTTAAACATGATTTCACATTTAAGAATTTCAAATAAAATTCAATTTACAGGGAGGAGAGGAGAAGGAGAAAGAGGAGGAAGAGAAAGAGGAGGAGGACAAATGAACAAAACAGGGAGAGCAGCCAATTGCTGAGTGGAAAAACATAAATCTTAAACACAAAGTAATTAAATGTTAATTCAGCAAGTATTTACACATCAGTAGTGGGTATCATCCTGCCTCATTCCCATTCAATTTCAGCTTGTCATATAACCTACACTTCTACTTCTTTTAATTATATGATTTATCTCTACTTCATTGTTTTATTTGACAGTCATGAACATGTGTCAGGCTGTTTGTATTATACAATTTAAACTGAAAACAAATGCTTGTTTGGTTACTTATCTTACAGTATCTCATGAAAGTGTAATTAATATTATATAAAACAGTATTTATAGAATAAACTGGTCCAAGATAAGGCACATAAAAATGGTGTCAATCCATGACATTTGTAATTAGGCTAAAAATTTGTTTACAAATCTATACTCGTTAACTTATGTTTTTATACAATAGGCAAAAATAATTCACTCTTGGCAGCACGGACTGCAGAATCACATCAAGTGCACCAAAGTCGGTTATGAATTGGTCATATTCCAGATACTACTAACGTATCTTTTTTTTTTTTTTTTTTTTTTTTTTTTTTTTGTCTTTTTGAGACAGGGTCTCCCTGTAGCCCCAGCTGTCCTAAAACTCACTATGTAGACCAGGCTGGCCTCGAACTCAGGGATCTGCCTGCCTCTGCCTACCGAGTGCTGGGATTACTGACGCCACCACGCCCAGCTATGCTAATGTATTTTTAAAGCCATTGTTTTAAAGAAAACAAACTTCACTTTTTTTACATAAATATAGAAGCCATTATTTCTCATGAAGAAGTGTCCATACTGCAACTCTTCAAACCATTCCTCAGTATAATGCAGGTATCATGGTGCCCCTAACAAGCTGTGATAAATCCCCAAGTTCTTACCTGTAAAATGGGTACACATTAGAGGCAGGTTTTCTGGGAAGCACAAGCTTCCATTACAGTTTTCCTTGGCCCGTACACAAGGCTTTGGCAATATGTCTATGTGGTCATGTATTTTTGTTCAATTTGTTAAAACTAAGATATTTTAATTACTATCAGCTGAGACAGGTCTCTTTCCTGCTGGATACCTCTGTTGTCAGTCTGCCCTGTGGTTGAGTGCCTCCGGAGCAGGTTGGGGATGCTGCTTTGCTTTTTCTTTTGAGAGGACCACCCAAACTGCATAAATTTCAGGCCCCACAAAACTTGCATCAGTCCCTACTTGTGAGAACAGTACCTAATTCACAGGTGTGTTGTGAGGATTAAATAGTAAAGGCATGTAGACAGAGCAAGGCCACAGAGGTCAGCACTTTATGCAATGTGAAAATCACAAATGCTGTCCTGGTGTCTGGGATGAAAATTTTTCCATGGAAGGGATTTTGCAGCCACAAGTGAAAAAAGCTGCAACAAGCTTTTCTTGGACTCTGAAGAGGTTTAGAGTCTCTTTTGCTATTAAAAAGAATGAAAAGTTGTATTTTGTTTGCCTTAGTACAAAGACAACTATATTACTATCTATCAAAACACTTTCTTAAATCTATTTGCTTTTCCTCTGATTTGAAAACAAATGAAAATACTTGTGTGGGATCCTGGTACCGTGGGCCATATGTACTGTATCTAATGGAAAAGGCAGAGTATTCTCCAATATGAATAATAAATTTTCCATGCCATGGAAAAGAATGATTGAACAAAAAACAATATGGTACAACTTAAATGGGGGTTCCAGTACACATAATAGAAACACACTTAAGGATGAACAGGAAGCATTTAGTTTTAGTTTTCAAAATGTGCACTTTAATGGGAGTTGGCCATTAGGACACCTATAGGGATTATGTTTTGCCATGAAACATATTTTTGCTTAAGGAATCTATTTTTTTTTTTCCCTCAGTGTACTTCCAAGGTCTTTTGTTGCTCTCGTTAGGGTTACATTATTAACAGGGAATTTTTATTTTAGAAAATGAGCTTCATTCTGCCAATTCTCTAGAATTTCATGTAAAGGTCTTCGACAAGACAAACAAGCTGATCTTGGTGTTGGTGCATCAGATAAGTCACAGATGAAACACACACACACACACACACACACACACACACACACACACACACACAAAAACCAAGCGGAATATCAAAGGTGTGTCTGCAGAACCCAGTGACTGCGTGCCAGAGGCTCTATCTGGCACATTTCTGAACTTTGCAAAATTAACTGTGCCGAAGAGAACACCATCAAACGCGTCCGGCACAGAGCATAAACATCTTCAAACCACGATTCTGCGCTATAAAACACTCTCCAGCTAATTTCATTTGGTGCATTACTCTGGAAGAACACCGAGGCCAAGTGAAACTGCGGAAATGGGAACAATGCACCGAGGAAAAATCTCACCCCATTAAGGGATCCGTTTCTTCTCTGCACAAATAAGCCCACCACGCCTCGGAGGCACGACTAGATGGCTCCAGGATGTTCTCAGAATGGCCCGCGGGCCCTGTGGCGCAGAGGGAGCCCTGCACCCAGAAGGAAGGGGACCTGAGTGGCAGCTCCTCCGTCTTCGGGCAGTTTAGGTAATACATAAAAATCGAAAAATATCCAAGCAGGCCTCCTAAGCGCTGCGTCCCTGTGCGTTTTCAGGGCGACCCCTCGTTTCCCCCTCCTCCACGAAATGTTTGCAGTGCGCACGGACCGCGATCCGGGAGTCGCGCTGGTCCCCGCGGGGCCGACTGGGCTCCGCCGGCCTTTCCCGAGGCTTCGCACAGGCGCCTTGGCCGCGCTCTCTCCGGAGGTTCCATGACCTTGCGAGGCTTGGCCGCGCGACCCAGTCTCCGCAGAAGCACCACCCTGGGCGCCCGGCCCGCGCGTGCCCGCACAACTCCGACTAGCCGACAGCCTCTCCGGTGCGCGCGCTGCTGCGGCCGGGGGCAGCGGGGACGCGCGGGGCGTGGCCTGGGCGGGACCGGGGCGTGGCC